CGGTGTCCTCACAGTTCGAACCAATGGCTGCTGGCGGAAAGAGTCATGTGAGGTCCAGGCTCAGTCAACAAACTACCCGACACCTCAACAGAAGGAGAGATGTACAACATATAACTGGTGGCAGGGTTGGGGGGGCAGTGTATTGTGGTTCAGTAGGAGATTCATGACACAGGAGTGAGTAGCACGGGGCGGGGCACATGGTGGAACCGCAGCATATGACAGGAGGAGGTGGCACTCTGTGCAGAGAGGCACGAGGCAATGGACAATGGGGAGGACAGAAGCAAGGAGCACAGATGTTGGTAGCATAGATGGGGCCGGGATATTGGGAAGAGAGTGACAGTCATGAGGAGGATGAACCATGAAAGATGAGTACCTGGTAGGGTGAAAATGAAGCCCTCACCATTACCCAAGGTGCCCTTGGGAACAGCAGAGGAAAAACAGACACATGTGTCATGTTCCTAGCGATGTAAGGGGCACAGCGGGGGGTGAGGGCATGCGGGAGTACTTGAATGGTGGAGTGCGGGAAAACCCTATGTTATCAAACCCTATGTTGTCCAGGTCATTCATGGTTTCCTCCACCTGGCACTGCAAACTTATAAGCAGAAGTTGAACGAGGTGGGAAAAGGGAGAGCAGCTGGTTTGAGGCACGACTATGGTCCACAGTTGCTCTACGTGCTGCCCTGTACACGAATACGGTCCGAAATGCTGTACATCGCCAAGGGACTTGCTGAAAAAACGAAAGATCTTCACAGCTACATGCCTCCGTCTCTGGAGGGCGATGCAGAGGCTATTTCGGCGCGGCTGAAGGACAGCACACTAGGATAGCACCGGTTTGGAACATTGTGCCGCATTTCAAAGTGGGAGTTGAAGAATCGCCATTACCCAAGGTACCCTTGGGAACAGCAGCTGTCCGAGGCTGCTGGCACTCTAGGCTCTATCAAGCTCTGAGCATGAGGTGCAATGGGCGGCGAGAACACTATTTACCCATCCTTGGCGGCAATGGATGTCCTACCAGCTCAATTATCCTGCTCGTGCGAGGCGTCATCGTGGAGTTTCTCTGTTCTCCCCTGGCACCATGTTGCACGCGCTGCGTCACGAGGCCTGTTGCACACCCTGCCTTGGCAGTGTCCTGTAACTGAGGATCGTATTCCAGAGTAATAGTAAACAACTCGCTATTACCCAATGTGCCCTTGGGAACAGCAGCTGTCTCAATCGGCTAGCACTCTAGCTCTATTACGCACTGAACATGAAATGCAATGGGCGGCGAGAGCACTATCTGCTGGAACTTGGCGGCACCGGATGTCCTATCGGCTCAATTAGACTGCACGCCGGAACAAGTTCAGCACAGTACTGCTACTGCATACAATATTCTTTGTTTAGAAAAAATATCAATGATACTGATACTGATACTGTAAAAGAACAATTTTTCGTGATTAACTTGTGCCTCTTCTACCAAGTAGGCATGTACAAATTCCACCATGACATTTTCAACCTTTTTATGTGACCCCTCTCCCCTCAGACAACATCCAGTAAACATTGATTGTGCAGGACTTGCTCTCGCTCCAGGATTTTTCCCTGCAGCGCCTCAACCTGGGCCCTATGACATACAAGGACATAGGTTTCTGGGCTGCACTCAACTTGTTTTAGACTCGAAATTTTTGTGGGGGGTTTTGGAAAAGCAAACGCCATATTTCCACTCAAAGGACTGAATCATTGAACTTCGATGAAACTTCCAAAACTCCATACCACAAACTATTTTTTGAACCTGTTGTACTCTACGGTATCCTACTGCACTTTGCTTTTGAGGGAGGGATGTCCAGGATCTGGAAAATAAGTAGCAGTAGCAGGCAGTATTTTAATTCAACTTCAGCTCGCAATAAGAAAGCAGCCGCCCTCCCAAGGTGAGTTGGAGTGTTCCCGTGGCTGGGGCAGTGGTTGCGGCCACTCTTTCTGTTTTGTTGCCTTTCAAGTTGGGCTGGACGCTGCCCAAAAATCTGGTTCTCTGGAGTGCCCACCGCAACTTCCCAGTGAAGACTTGGAAAGGGGATTCCAAAGATGAACTAGCGTGGAAGGACGAAGACTTTCTTGAAGATATGGAGTACTCACCTGGCTGGCTTCTCCGTGCCAAAACAGCGGATGGGTCTCTAAATTGGGATCTGTAAATTTGGACACGCATGGCCTCCCATGCGAAAGTTTAATTTGCGTTTTGTGGCCATTGTCTGGCTACGTGCTGCTCTAGCTGGAACATGGCTAGATTAGAAGATGACACTGACGTTTGGCAGAGCCGAGGGACAAATGATGGAATGTAAACGCTTCGAAGTGTGTCAGTGTATCCTGTGTTTCTTCAGTGCGGTTCGTTCTCATCACAAAAAGACTTTTTGAAGAAGTTGTTAAAATGTTGCGGTTTCGGGTTTTGCCATTGTTTAGAGTAGTTCGGGCTGGGCGAGTCAGAGAGCTACTTTGATTGAGGTTCCTAGTTTCATTAAAAATATCAATGGTCATCAATGAACACTTCCCAAGACGCAGAGTTCGAGATCCCCGACACCCACTGCCCAGCCTGTGAACAAGAATTTGGAACTCAGGATGCAGAGGCTTGCCTCCAATTAAGATCCCAAGTTCCGAATGATGGAGGCATAAAACAACAACTATATATAGACTCGACTCGACCCTATATAATATTATATTTAAATATTTATTTATATTATATATTTATATTATTTATTATTTGTATATTGTATGAAATGATATAAGTGTATATTATAATATATTTATACATAATTTAAATATTGTGTCATCTCCACCAAACAACAACCAATTCCCATTCAACGCCACTCAAGATCCATTTTTTGGAGCATTCGTCGGACAAGACTAGGCAAAAACAAACGGCTTCATGCCGTCCAAAAGATTTGTTATTGCATTTTTCGAAAATGCAAATCATGTAGGCCAGTCCTTATCAGTCAATGAATTATTAAGTGTGCCCCCCAGCAATGTTGAGTTCAGGATGCGCCGCCGGCTGTCCCGATGGTGGTGACGCCAGCGAAATCGGATGGGGGTCACACCTACTGCTTGAAATGTTACTATGTGAAAAGAGGAAGCTTTAAGAAGGTGAAGGCTTCGGAATTCATCCGTTTGAAGAGAAAGAACTCAGCGCTGAATGTGAAGTTCCTTGGTGATCTACTGATTGCAGTAATACTTAGGACAAAGAAAATGTTTTTTTCCAGGCATTGACTCTGACAATGTGAAACTTTGTCACTTTAACTTACTATTTCTTACTTCTTATATCAAAACTCTTCTTACTATATGTTTAAAACTGTTCTTACAATTCTTACGTCTTACATGTTCTTACTCTCACTTGGTTCTTGGACGAGCAAGTATGCATGATTCATGCATAATATCATATATGTGACATATGTGTGTGTGTGCGCATGTGTTTCTGTGAAAGTGACCATCTAGATTGTCAAGTGAGGTTCAAAGGACTGCGCAAAAGGCATGTGAGCTTTTTGGCGAAGAACCCCAAGGGGAAACCTCGGCATGAGGTGGTGAACATTGATCTCTTTGTCAAGAAAAGCACCAGCAAATATGTGGATTTCAGACAAGTTTCTTGGTTTTGCATTATCGTTTTCAATAGTGGGCAACGGGATTATTAAACAATTGAACGACCCCTGGCCCTGACCTCAAATTATCAAAAGTTGTAAAGTTGTCCCAAAAATTGACTCTTATAATAGATCCTTTCATTGTTTGATATTGTTTGTTAGGTTAGAAATTCCATGCAGCCTTTCTGCAGGAAGGCGATTGGACCCCCGTTGCCCAGTTCTTCGCTGAGAAAGCTGACAGTGCGACCAAAAAGAGGTTGAGGACACTGGGGCAAAAGCGCGCTTGGCTGGAAAAGAAAGGCTTCAAGATCCAAAAGGACATTGTTGCAAGAATGCAATACTTCCGTTGGAACTCAAAACAGTTACAAGGTTTGCAGTCAAAGAATGAAAACAATAATTTTTATAGGGCCTGAATTAAAAAGGTCAAAACTTACAGGTGCTGAGATGAGATGATGCATTTTGATGATTCCAGAGACTGAACTGACTGAACCGATAAAAGTTTCTAGGACGATGATTGGTTCCTTGAGATGTGACAAAAAATCTAAGCTAGCCATTGTTTCAACATTTCAACACCGTATCGATTCGATCATTCTTTCATACGGTTTGTTTGTTTTGTCAATATCACGCATCGCCATCGTGATTGTGATTTTGATTGCTATCACTAATTATCATGAATCATCCAGATCCAAATTGAAAAAACCCGTTATCTATTGGATATTTCCCACTCAAACCACCGCGTAAAGACTTCTGACTAAACACTTTGCACTTCACATCCCAGCTGGACCCTGCCCTGAAAGGACGAGCGAGGAGAGGACGGAGTTGTGGTGATGCCTACTGGAGGAAAGAAGAAGGTTGTGGTGGGAACCCGAATGTCATCAACTAAGGAAAAGCGAACTACGTTGGACGAGGATGCCAAGGACGCCCAGGAAGAGATCTTTGGCAAGGCTGCTGCAGGCTTGGATGTTGAGGCCCAGGACGAGGACAGGAACACCCAGAGTGACCGATCAAATGATCACTTTCTATGTGACTATGTAGCATGACTCAGACTCAGCATTTTGATTTTACAGATTCCACATTTGGTATTGCATTTTTCTGAAATGCAACTTACCTTGCACAACTTGCAGGTAACAAAACGCTCTTGAAATCAGAACACTTCACTTGACTTTACAAGACCATATGATTTCATTTCGAATCACGTCAAATCAGGTCAAATCAAATCAAAACATATTAAGTCAAATCATATCATATCGTACCATAGCTCTTAGAGCCTAGTTATAATCGAGGTTTGCTCATAGTCAGTTATACTAGACTAGACTATATAAGACTATATAATTATATATTGCAATACGGCAATACATACTTTCCTATCACCCCTTTATCATGGCCCAGGGCCCATAACTTCACCAGGATCAAGTGAACGAGAACCTGAAGTCAAACTCTGAGGAAGAAAAGTCGGAGGAGAAGGAAGACCTTGGGGACGACAGTTCTGAAGAGTCAGGCTTTGACTTGAAGAACAAGGCCAAGAAGAAGGCTCCCACGAAGAGGTTTCGAGGAAAGCAAGCAGAAACTGAGGCACCAGCAGCAAAGGCAACCCGCAAAGCTGAGAAGGAGAAGGAGAAGGAAAAGGAAAAGACTGAAACCGAGGCATCCGCCGCCCCATCCAGCAAGAGCAGTGGCAGTGGCAAGGTGAACCCAGAGAAGGTCATGGCCGGAGCCAAGCAGAGCTTGGCCGCCCTTCAGCAGGTGAGTCCAATGATGCTTTGGGGCAATCGCCAGAAAGTCAAGGAGACAGACTCGAAGGTGGTCAAGGCCATGGACCTAGTGACTAAACTTGAAGGGATTAAGTCAGAAGAGGCGGCCAAGTTGATGGAGGAGATTTCTTCTATGGCAGACCGCATGTCCAAGTGGGTGGAGATTGTCAATCAGATCAGCATCGTGAACAATGAGTCTCCACAGGAGGTTGTCGAGAAGTTGACTGCCCAGAGCAACGCGCTGGCTTCTGCCCTCCAGACCCAATCAGCGGACTGTATGAGGCAAGCTCTGGTGGACATCGGCAAAATGCTCCTGGAGGCTTTCGCTCCTGTTTCAAACTTTTTGTGGTGGGGGTTGAGATGTGCAAAGTCAAACAGCATTGGAGACAGTTTTTGTTAGTCGAGTCACTTTCATAAAATGTAAAGTCAAGTAATGTAGTAATAACATAATGTTACAATGGTTGAGAATCTAGTGTATGACTAGTACCACATGTTCTGGCAAAAGCTAGAGCCAATAGTCCATTGATGTCCATTGCCCATTGAGTTTTTTCATCGATTCATCAATACTTGGCTAATTTCGTGTGTCCTGCTGCAGGTTTCTATGCTAGCCGTTGATCCGGGGGTCACAGCGGAGCACCGAGGGAGCTTCTTTGAGTATATTTCCATCAGGAAGGAAGCCAAAGAGAGGGCCATGTTTACGCTTGCCAAGATGATGGAACATTCGAAGCTTGGCACTGAGGGCATGATCGCCATCCAGTGCTCGTTGTTCAGCGCATGGGTGGACAAATTGAGAACCATTAACACAGAGACTACGGTGGCCGTCCTCAACTCAATCCCTGATTTTTGCAATTGCCCGGATGTGCTCAGGCAGGAGAAGAACATAAACCCAGACCAGACAAGAAAATTCAAGGTCAAAAGTAGTCAAGAGTTAGAATCTAAGATCGATTTTTAGTCAGGATCTTCAAGTTCAAACCATTTGGATGAAAACACCTTCGGTTCTGGATTATAAGATTCCAAGCTTGGGCCTTACAGGATGGCTCATTAAGCTCACTTATTTAATTTTTGGGTTTGAGTCAGACTGCCCCTTCACCTTTGCAAGTCAATTCTTCTTACTACGTCTTCAGTGGTCCATTTCTTTTGGCAGGTTGCCTGAACTCACTGAACAGCAAGAGCAATTGCTACTTGTGGACAACACAGAGGGTTTCAGCAATTCAAGTGGCCTATGCCTCCGGGTCCTTGCAGACCTTCAAAAGATGTTGGGGTGCAAGACTGTTCATCTTTGCTCTGACCCAGCGATTTTGGACCCGCATACCAAAAAGACCCTGAAGCTCCAATCCACCACGAGCCACTTATTTTCCTCTCGGATCAATTTGGCATTCCGGAGCAATGCTTTGTTGAAGACTGGGGTTTGGGTTTGGGGTTCCAGTGTCGCCGATTTTGAAGTAGAAGAAGAAACAACTAATTTTTTGGAAGTTTGAGACCCAAATTATTTTCATCAAATGATATTTCAATATTTCTTTGCTTTTTCAAACATGCATCGGCCTTACAGCAAATATTTTTGGTGGTAGTTGTTTCTCACAAGTTCGAAGGGCCACAATGACTTGACAATGATTCGACCATCAAGTCATTAGACCCTGCGCCCTTGTCAGGACAACCTGGTCAAAATTGATTGCTGCAGCAGCGGCAACCATCAGTGCAGCGCAAGCTTCCCAGATGTGCCAGAAGTTGATTGAAGAAGCTGCTCAACTCAAAGTTCACATGGCAGCCAATCCAGTCAACGAGAATCAGTTCTACGTGCACTTGAAAGAGTGCAAGAACTTCCTGGAGGTTTTGACCAACTTACCAGAGAAGCACGAGAAGAGAACCAAGATGAACGAACTCTTTGAAGATGTCAAGGAGGTGGGCAACGAAGCATTTCCAGAAGGCTTGTTCAAGGAGTTTGCGGAGTGGCTTGATGTGCAATGGACTAAGGAGTACAACGATGATGATGATGAAACAACCTCAAAGAACCTCTACGCCCTGACCGATCCCAACCCGGAGACATTCTCAAAACTGGGTATGCGAGGACTGACTGACTATTCACTAATCAAATATGTGTTCCGCCGATTGGATCTTTTTGGGGTAAAGCGAGCCTCGATCAAAACAGCCTCGATCAAAACATGTAATGTCTGGCCACCCAAAAGAGGTAAACACTGAAAACATAAACGAAAGTTGCCAGTTAAGCTGTTATGTTAAGGTATGTGGTGTGTGCTGAAAAGACGCTTCAAACTTACTTTTTGCTTTGGGGTTCTTTTTTTTTCTCAGCTACCCTTCAACACTGGCATTGCAGGACAGCTTCATGTTCAGTTTCTCAAGCTTGAAGGGGGCATCTACACTCGCATGCACAATGTTCTGACTGAGTTCGTGAAGTTCCAGGATAACGGTGAGGAGCCTACCCTTGTGCAGGCTGCAGCTTTGTGCATTTCCATCCAGGACAATGTGAAAGCTGTTCTTCAAGATCCATCCTTCACTGGAAAGTGGGGGCAATCTCTTTTGAATGCGTCCCTCAGACTGCAGAGTCACGTGGAGAAGGTTGGAATCAAGAAGGTCCAAGACTTTTTGAAAAAAGATGGTGACACTGTCAGTGACACTGGTATCAAGGAGGCGTTGCACTTTCTCAAAGAGCTGACCAATTTGCCTGGCCAGATGAAGGATTGCAAAAACAGTTTGGAGGGCATCAGCACTGGTGTTGCAGAGATTTTGAAGAACCCTGACATCAAGAAGGCGGAGGGGGCTGATTTGATGAAGCACCTTCAGACCGTTGTCAGTGTTTCCAGCTACAACCAGGACTTGCTGCAAACTCTGATGGAGGATGCGGCGTCGGATTTCAAGGTTTACATTGAGGATTTGGCTGCAGCTTTGAACAAACTCGTGAAGGAGCTCACCGCTGACCATGCAAAGTGGCTAGAGGTTGTGACCAAGTACAGGTCCGGGTCAACAAAAGACATTAATTCGGGATTAGGACCAGGGGCCGGGGTGGACAGGACTGACTGACTGAACATGGTTGACTGACCAACTGACTGACCTTCTCTTGTGTTTTTGTTTTTGCTTGTTCGATGTTCCCATTGATGTTCCTTGATTTTCAATTGGCGTTTATTATTTGTTGTTTTCTCTGGCCTGAACCAGGCCCATTCTTGGAGTCGCAGAGTTTTGGCAGCCTGACAAGTTGGAAGACATCATGTGGATCTTCAAAGGTGACAAACAAGTTGACGCAGACTCGAAAGAGATGCTCCAGTATCGTGATCGCTTGGGTGCAAAGCTTCCTTTGCTATCTTCCTTGCTTTCGCTACAGGTTGGCTGCAAGAGGGTAGAGAAAGTCGCATGGTGCTTGAAGAAGGTTGAAAGCACCCACAAGGATATTCAGGACAGGGTTTCCGAAAATAATTTTCATATTCACAGTTTTCAGTTGCTGACAACATAACTTAACATTTTGGTAATTTTTAGTTTTTGACTACGGATTGAATAAACAAAAGGGAGAAAGGGAAATGAAAGAGTGTATTTTTTTCTCCAGAAGTGTTGTGAGAATTTTTGCTATCACCATTTCTTCACAATAGAATGTTTCCATCCGATTCTGTATGAAACATGTTTTTCTTGGGTTCTGGTTCTATTGTTCTATTATCATGTTACATACAATGTTACCATGTTATATATACAAGTTATGTCAGTTATGTTACATATGTTACATCATATGTTAGTTATTTGAGGTCAATCATGTCTTTTTGGTAGCCGGTATGCTCTATGCAACTACACTTAACCTTATACATACAGACGCAACATAGACTGACACGCTTACATTATGTGCATTTTTTCCCACCGTCCAGGAGCTGGCCCTGGACTCGGCTAAGGTTATTGCTGCCATGATGTCCATGGAGCTGGTTGTCAACAAGACTCAGCACCAGGATTGCCTGGCAAGTTTCCGAAAGGTTTGCGCCTTCATGGGAAAGCGTCTTGGCATGTCCAAGGAGGATTTGCCTAGTTTGCTCAAGACGAAGCTTGATGAATGCTGCGGCAGCTCGGAGAGCCTTGAAGCATATTTGTCATCAACAGTCATGAGTCATCAATCATTATTAATTAGTACTTAGTACTCATGACTGTCATGAGTCATTATCATTTTCATTAATCATCACCAGCTTCTTTTCAGGAAAATCATTCCACTCTAAACTCTAGACTCTGAAACTGGTACGGTATGTATCACTGATGGATGTCTCAGTCACACAGTCACAATTATGATGAGATGAGAGGTTTTAAAACATGTGTCACATCATCAGACCCTATTGCTAATGATGCAGAAGTTCTGCAGAAGCATAATATAATGTCAGTATCAGATACCCGGTCGGCCAAAGTGCGAAGCCATAGCCAAAGTTAAACCAAAAACTAGCTGATTTCTTGCCAAAACAATCGTCCGAAACGGAATTCCCATTCAGGACCCCCAATGTGATAGACATACCCTACTCAGATCTAAGGAAATCCAAACCGGAGGAAAAGGAGAACGCACTCACCCAGAATAAGAAGCGCAAGGAGAAGACTAAGACTGAAGAGGCTGAAACTGAGGCCCCTCCCAAATCCAAAGGTCAGAAAAAAAAGTGACCGCCTTTTGTTTCTCCATGGATCTTACTGAGATTTTCAGTACGCTGGGATCCTGGATGTCTATGTGGACCTACTTAGGGGCTGTGAAAGAAGAGTTGACAAGGGTAAGTTAGGGTGACCAATCTTACCGCTGTGGCATGGCTGTTTGGGGCATGGAAACTTCTACCCAAATAAGAAACTAGTCCAAGTCAACCAACTGTCAGCTCAAACTTAAGCCTTTCTAAATTTCAAAGCAAAAAACATGTTTGCCATTTATGCCAGTACAGTCTTTAGCCCAGGGCCAAGCCACATGACACATGAAACCTCCGCCTTGTCTATGCTCTTCGTCAGAGTACGGGTTGGAACAGCAAAGGAAAAACAAAATTGTTGCCGCTGCTGCATTTTGTTGTCGTGGTGCCTTGGATATTGATGAATAAAACTATGATCACACCATTCCAATTCAATCCTTTCACGGGTACACTCAAGTCAAGGCAACATTCTGAAAGCCTTGTCCACCACATCATCAGCCAAACATCTTACCTAGTCATGATCTTGATCTGGTTGCAGTATGGTTATTTTGTGAATTTTAGTGGGTAGTTTGTATATGTTTGGTAAATTCCTGTATATTTTGTAAATAGTTTCTGTATATTTTGTAAATAGTTTCTGTATATTTTGTAAATAGTTTCTGTATATTTTGTAAATAGCGCAAATAGTTCTAAATAGTTTCTGTATAAAATTCCCATTTTAGTAAATAGTTTCTAGCATATTTAGCTTTGAACAGACAAAGAGGCCAACCCACGGCCTAATTCAAGGCCAACAAGCCGCGGCTGATAGCCTCAAAGAACTTGGAATCCAAGCGACACCAATGGTGCATATCCCTTGCCAACTCGATGCACCTGAAGGAATACTACTTACGACTTATGATCAACTGCACTCACAGATTGGCAAAGCAGAAACGACTGCGTATGCTTTTCCTTCGTTTGGAGCAGCGCAAAGTGTAATGCGCAATATTCAGTTTAATTTGCAAACACCAATTTTCATTTATGGATGTCACGCCAATACAAGTCCAGTTGAAGTCTCGGCAAAAGTCTTTGATACTTGCAATAAATATATGCCCACAGTGCGTGAAATTAGACAAATCACTGAGCCAATGAAGTATCAGAAGTACCCCACTGTGCTTTATATAATTAAAATGAATGGTGCGCACAGTACTCCACCAACTATTGTGTGGAAAGTTCCCGAAGCTCTCAGTGATGAGTTTATTATACCATCCCGTATTGCCTATGAGCTGCCGGATGGCAAGGACTTAAGACAAGGGCAATTTCCAGGTATCACTGAAGCACTTCCTTCAGCGAATGGATGCTATAATTCTGATAAGTCAAAAGGAAGTATCCCCGTTACTGTCAAATTCCACAAAGCTTCACCCCTCCAAATTCTCAAAGTGCGAGAAGCTGCTGACAACCTACTTCAAGAAGCTTGTGTGATACAGGACACTCAATTTCAAGGAGGGTGTTGATTGGCATAGACTTCATCGAAGGAAGTTTAGAAGTCAAACTTCCGACAATATGGAGAGATGAAAAGCAGAGCAGGGCAGAGGCAGAGAGAAGAGGAAGATTAGAAGAGAAAGAGTAAGAAGACAGAAGATACAGATGCGCGAAAAGGTAGGAAAGTCGCGAAACACTGTGTTTTTCCAATGATTTGTGGCTCCGGAGGGTCGAAAGTAGGCTCGCTAAAGCGGCGGGTGCGGAGCCAGCTGGCCACAGGAGCGATGAAAAATTGCACGCCGTTGTGGCGCGAAGCACATTTCGAAGTCAAAAGTGTTAAAGACTGGCGGTCTCGGACCACTTTTGGAAGTTGAGATGTCAAAAAAGTGCACGCCGTTGTGGCGCGAAGCACATTTTCGAAGTCAAAAGTGTTAAAGACTGGCGGTCTCGGACCACTTTTGGAAGTTGCGATGTCGAAAAAGTGCACGTCGTTGTGGCGCAAAGCACATTTTCGAAGTCAAAAGTGTTAAAGACTGGCGGTCTCGGACCACTTTTGGAAGTTGCGATGTCGAAAAAGTGCACGTCGTTGTGGCGCGAAGCACATTTCGAAGTCAAAATGTACAAAACACACCATGCTCGCGCCACTTTTGGAAGTTCGGATGTCGAAAAAGTGCACGCCGTTGTGGCGCGAAGCACATTTCGAATTCAAAATGTACAAAACACCTCAGCTCCGGACCACTTTTGGAAGTTGAGCTGTTGTTGAGCTGTTGAGAAAGTGCACGTCGTTGTGGCGCGAAGCACATGTCCAAGTCAAAATGTCCAAAACACCAGGGGTTTGGACCATTTTTGGAGGTTCAGATGTTGAAAAAGTGTACGCCGTTGTGGCGCGAAGCGGACTTCGAAGTCACACTACATTACACTACATTACACTCCAGTACGCTCCGCTACACGAAATTACACTACACCACACTACATTACACTGAAGGACACTGCAACACAGATAGACAGCTGGACAGATGAAAGGGAGAGAGAGATAGACAGGTAGGTAGATAGATAGATAGATAGATAGGTAATTAGATGAAAGAGAGATAGAGAGAGAGGCCAGCTGGGTAGATGAGATAGATAGATAGATAGACAGGTAGATAGGTAGATGGCTAGAAAGGTAACTCTGTAGATAGATGGCGAAAGAGAGAGACAAAGAGAAAGAGAAAGAAAAAGACGCAAAGGCAGAAACACTCAACCACCTTTCAATCCATCAGTGGGTTCGTTCGCTCTGCCGTTTTTGCGCCACAGCAACTCACCTCTCCTATAGGTTTCCTATTTTTGAAACTTCCGCCACCGCCTTGTGCGGTACTACTGGTAAACCATGTCCACACGACACCTTGATGACAACGAAAGGACATCCCTTGCTCTCGAACTGATGTCTTTTAAGATCAAGTACTTCTACCTCTCGAAAGCCCAAATTATTTTACGAATTGAAGGTGTTGAGGTTGAAGTTCTAAGAAACCTACTCCACTGTTCAACGACGTATCTTCCCTTTGGGCAGAGACAGCAGTCATCCCAGGTAGTCCTTGGCCAAGTGAAACCGATGCATAATAATTGGTACTGTATGAATGTCTACTACTCACCAGTTGGGAGTATGCCTTTGTTTCCATTACAGATAGCTAGAAGTAAAGTTGCCTCCTATGTGGACTCAGCAGATGATATTGCAGGGACTGAATTAGGATACTCACTCACGAAAGATTACCCAGCTAGCCGATTCGAATTCCGAACTGTTATAGATGATAACAATTCGTACACATCAATGATTACATTTTGGGCCCCCCGGAGTGTTAATTTCTCATTTCCACGAGATCTATTGAGCACTGCGGTAATATATTACCACACTCAGGAGCGCCGGGAGAGCCACCGAAACATGAAACCAAGAAAGAACACTGGCGCAGAGTTGGCGAAAAGCGCAACCCTAGCTATAAGAACCGACTCACTGTTATCGCGCCAGTTAGCAGCCAGAGCTCTCCACAGAAAAGGCGATTCGGATTACTGAAAGAATCTTTCTACGACGGAACACACAAACAAGTGTCCTACACCTATGCTGAGGAAACATACCCATGGGTCCTTTTTCTGGATGTGTTGCCAGAACTTGACTCATTTGACACCTTCATGACCTTGTTTGGACAGTTTGAGAATGTATTCAGTACACAAGGAGAGTTTCAGAAGCAAAGCAACAGCGGTTTAGAGGCTACCTCTAAGCAACCGCGGATCATAAGCTTCCACCTTGCGTCAGGACGACATATTCAACTCAATCGAGTTGAAG